GTTTTTAGCAACTTTAGCACAGGTCTGCAGGTGTTTGAGGAGAGTGCGGTAAGAACGCAGCTTGGCCCTGCAGCTCTCACACCTACAGGACATATAAATAATGATCTGTGTTATAACAGAAGAGCTGGGAAAAGTTAAAGTTACCGTACATAATCTCAAATTAAAAACATTTGTATATCCCAGAATTGTTCAGAATTATTAGAACCCCTTTGATTTTTTTTTTATATTTCCCAAATTATGTTTAACAGACACAAGGAAATTTTCACAGTATGTCTGATAATATTTTTTCTTCTGGAGAAAGTGTTATTTGTTTTATTTCGGCTAAAAAAAAATCAGTTTTAATTTGTTTTAAAAACATGTTAAGGTCAATATTATTAGCCCTTTTAAGCTATACATTTATTTAGTATTTATTTCTATTTAGTCAACAGAACAAACCATTGTTATACAATAACTTGCCTAATTACCCTAACCTGCCTAGTTAACCTTATTAACCTAGTTAAGTCTTTAGGCTGTATAGCTTTAAACTGTCTTGAAAAATATCTAGTAAAATATTCTTTACTGTCATCTTAGCAAAGATAAAGTAAATCAGTTATTAGAAATGAGTTATTAAAACTATTATGTTTAAAAATCTGTTGAGAAAATCTTCTGTCCGTTAAACAGAAACTGAGGGAAAAAATAAACAGTAGGGCTAATAGTTCAGACTTTAACTGTATAAATGGACAAGAAAACAAGAAAGGTGCCTGCATCAAATTAATTTACAATAGTGATTTTAATCCACATACAAGGCCTATTAATTAAAGGTAAAGGCGTTTTTTATGTTTAAAATAAGTAAGAAAAACTGTCAAAATATGGGTGAAATGATGTCATCATCATCCATCATAACAGATATGTTAAGTAAATATGAAACAACATACTTATTCTGGCCAGTACCTATTAAAATATATAAGTGCGCATCCTTTTTTATCACATATATTAATTGCCTAATAATGTCTTGTTGACAAATGGGGTAAATCTAGTGACAAAGATTTAGAAGATTGAAAATGACAAATGATTCCAGTTGTAAATATTCCTGACAAGATTTGTTTGATGTATTGTTTCAATGAAATAGACTATTTATTATTTGCTCACAATTAAACTATACACATTATCATGAAAGTAAAGATATGTAAAACTGTATTACTTTTTATTGTTTTGATGCTTTTTGACTTAAACTCATTTTTTATAAAGAAGAAGAGGGTAAAAATAAAAATAGGAAACAACTACTAGAATATCAGAATTGAAAATGGTCGTTTTAGGCAGATTTTTCTTATCAACAACAGAACTCTTATCAACAAAACAGTACTTGTTTTAGATTTTTCTAACAAAGATATTTTTTTCTTATTTGATAATCTGTTTCACTCAGATATACATCCCAATACATGTTAAAATAACAATCTGTCTCTACAGTTTCACACAGACTTTAAATTAATATTTTTTTAAATAAAAGTGTTCTCTATAAAAAACAAGTGGAAAAAATAGCATCGCATTTAAGAAAGAACAAAGATATCTAGAATGCAAAGAAGAAAAACTCACAGAAAAAAGCAATTTGGCTTGTAGTGGTGTCTCATATGCTCCATGAGCTGCTGCATGTTGTTAAATGAGCCATCACATCCGATTTGAGAGCACAGGAAAGCTTTACCTAAAGTGTAAAGGAGATTGCATTAGAAACCGAATAGGCGGTGACATAGCTTAACACAAAAATAAATTATATAAGAGATTGAGCAATCTCAAACAGTGTTTCCCTCATCAAATGTATTAAAAACAAAAGCAGGTTCATTTGTCCTATACCTGGAAGAGATTGAGCCGTGTTCTTCTGATGGTCCTGAAGATGAGCATTCAGTGCTTCTGGATTATTGTAGGTCCTCTTGCACCCATAAAACGAACAGGACATTTGGCAGGCTGGTGGCACAAATAATACCAGTGTTACTTAGACATTTAATTTCGATAATTACTGAAACATCAAACGAAGACGAAGTAATGCTGACATACCCTCCATGATGTCTGCTTCGGGACTTAATCCTGTACTCGATATCACCGCTGCTATATTTTAGATTAAATAAAGGAGATAAAATACAATACAGTGCATAAACGGCACGTAACGTTGCCACGTTCTAATGTGTGTGTGCAAAGAGCAATCACGGGAAGTCTTAACACAATTAGTAATTGATCAATAACAGTGTATATGCAAAAAGCAATCCACTGACGTTAGTGATAAATCAATGTAAACAAACAATCAGCAGTCAGCAGACGCACGAGCTAACAGACAAAACATCACATTCATATTACTGCTCAGAACATATGTAATTGTGGGTAATTATGTATAACGCACATTGATCATTACACTTACTTTGAATGGATTTGTCGAAGCAAAGAGTCTATTTTAAAGAACAAAAATATGTTAATTCTGTACAAATTGGTTATCTAGCTAGACTCCGTTTCCTTCCCTGCTACGTGCGATACGTTCATCTGTAAAATATCGCGAGATCACGTGTTCACGTTATTCCGCTAGTGGGAGTGTGGTGTTGTTGACTGGATGACAACATTTGAGATGATTATATATTTTCAGTACAGATTGTAGTGTGTATCTTTGTAATCTTGTTGAACGTTCTAGTTATAAAAAGCTCTGCTTATAGCTTACATTTTTATAATATATTTAATAAATATTGTAAAAATGTATCAACACTGAAGCTGATAAAAATACATACTTCAGCTAAAAATGCTCCTATAATCTTTGGGGGGGGGGGGGTACTATATACTATTTTTTTAATGTGCAATAAATATGAGAGGCGCTCTGAAATGTTTCTCTGATGTTTCTTGTTCCTCTTTCTCTCTGATCGAACTAAATTAAACCTACACTGCTTATATGCCATTTGACCAAATAAAACCATGATTTCAAAACCGAGTTAAAAAATGCTTTTTTAAGCACAGAAGAAGATATTTTGAAGAATGTTGTAAAACTTTAACCACTAACCTAATATTCTTCAAAATATGCAGAACCAAATTTACAGAACAAACAAACATACAATTGTCTGGAACAAGTAAAGGGTGAGTAAATTATAGCATAATTTAAATTTTTACTATATATATTTTTTCATATTTGATATATATTTCATGCATCACTTTAATGCATGGTTGTGCAGTTTGTTTTTCTTTTCTACATTTTATTCAGATATCTACATTTGTTTGATCTACCAAAACGGAGATCTTTATTAATATTTTGCATTTTGTTAAATATCTCTCTGTGCATTTATTTTGAAATGCCTAGAAATAATTTACCTTAAAGACCAGTAGAGGGCTGCAGAGATCCACACATCGTAAGTTTGAAAACCTTTAGTTCCCAACAATCCTCAACTACGTCAACCAACCTAAACATATTTACAGCAGAATGCATGCAAAAGAACAGTTTTTCTAAATAAAGCTGTAATCATTTTTAACGTTACTCCTGATAATATAGTTGTTGTAACTTATTGCACTCAGGTGAGTTCACATATTGGCTTTAAATTGAGAAAAAGCTAGATACCGCCTCAGATACGATTTGTTCATTCATTCATTCATTTTCGTTTCGGCTTAGTCTTTTAATTTATCTGGGATCGCCACAGCGGAATGAATCGCCAACTTTTCCAGCATATGTTTTTACACAGCGGATGCCCTTCCAGCTGCAATCCATTTCTGGGAAATATCCATACACACTCATTCATACACTACGGATAATTTAGCCTATTCAATTCAGCTGTACCGCATGTCTTTGGACTGTGGGGGGAAACGTGGGATTTACATATAATTTGAAATCATTCACAAAATAGAACAATTTTTGGTTTACTTTGTGCCCACTTTTTCTTATTTGGTATTTTCCTAATAACATAAACAAATTAAAAATAAGTTATTCATTTATTATTCTCATTGAAAAATTAGAAAAACTGTGGAAAAAAACAGTACTTAAAATTAACACATTTTTATCTTATACTCCTTTTTTGTTAATAAACGTTTCCAAATCTTTAAAAATGTTCTTGAGTAAATAAAATGTAAAAAAAAAAAAAAAAAAAAAAAGATGCAACAGTGCTTTTTTTCTTGATAAAATATTAAGTTTGAATCTTTCCTAAACATGTTTAGCAGGATAGATTCTGTGAAGTATTTTGTAAGACACTTCTTAAATTATGGTATTTATGCAAAACTTATTTGTCAACTTAAAAAACTCCAATGAACTACTTAACACTGTTTCTAAACTGGACACTTGTTTTTTTCCCCAATGTAATAAGGTACAAAAATTTTGGAACGAAGGATTAGTTTGGATACAACAGAAAATATCTGTAAGACTTGTCTTCTCATGGGAAATTATAAAGTTTGGCCTAATGTTTAAAGTTAAAATAAATGATTTGTTGTTATTATTAAAATTCTATATTCATAAATGTATTTTTTTTTCAAAATTCCCCAAGACTAGAGGTGTTTAAAAAAAGCATTTGAGATCTATTTGAAGACATCAAGAGAGATGAAACGTCAAAGCAAGACATTTATATTCATCTATACAGAATTTTGGCTTCATTTTTTTAAGAACTGTAACCGCCCTGCTACATATTTTTCTTTATCATTTATTTTTTGTTAATTTTTGTTATTTTATTTGTTTATATATGTTGTATTATTATTAATGAGGTTAAAAAAAGATTGTGAATGCATGTAAATTGATTGATTGTCTTTTGTGTAATTCTAAAAAGTATTAATGAGTTTCTATTACTGTTCAAGCATTTTAAAAAATCATTCATAAATAAAATAAAATAGCTCAACACTGTTTCTGAATTGATGACGTCGGGTACCTGATGCTCCACCTTCGTAATTAAAATGTCCAATGGCGTTCTGAGTATTTAATTCTGACCCTCATGGCCATCGTTTTCATTGGATGCAGAGTATAGAATGGGCGGAGTGAGGAATAAGAGCTTATATATGCGCCGTGCTCTCAAGATTAGCTCACAATTGACAAACGCATAATAGAAACCTGTAATTAAACGGTGGGTTGGAGCAACGGCGTGAACGCTGGCGCCTCACGGCTAGTAACGGGGTAAGATTAAAGCCTTTCCCTTGCCTATAAAATGTTTCTGATAACTGTTTTTGAGCAATAAAAACTCCTGTCCAACACTTTCCGACCGCAACAACATGCTGTTCAGAGATAGGTTCCTCGGTCAGATGGAATAACGTTACATATCCTAAAACACTGACCGGTTTTAAAATAAGCTTGAACAGATTGAAAGATATGTATTCGATATTTCGTAGTTTATTATTTATTTATTATTATTTTAATGGCATGTAATGCAACTTGCATGTTTAATGTCAGTTGAGGTGAAGTTGGTTTTATTTTTGCATGTTTTGCACATTTGTTTTTTATTTTTTGTCGTTCTCGTTATCTTTAAACAGTGCAAACTTGTAACACTTCTAAATAACATTAGCGCAATTTAACTGACTGTGTAAACAGTGTCTTTTAATGGTCATTGGCTGCTAATATGATTTCCCTGTTTAGAATTTGATCTGTTTATTATTTAGAACAATACTTTTCTGAAATACATTTTATTGAGGACAAAGTTGGAATGTGCGAATATAAAACCAACTTTACCTCAAGTAAATGCCTGGTTGTTTACCAAGTCTATACATGAGCTGTCTTCGAGACTCCAGATTATCCCTGTGGAAAAGCATCTGTTCAGGGCCAGACTGATGATCCTGTTTCTGTCTCTGTTTTTCAGGAGTTATCTGTTGCACGACCACCTTGCGGTGATCAGATCAGAAGTGATCAGCATTTGATTTAAAGGAGAACTAGTAAAGCACTGTGATTTAGACCTCAATCTGCACATCATTGGACCTTTGGAAAACATGGTGCAAAACAAGATCACTGAAGTAACCGGATTCCATCGCTCCTTTAAGGTTGGTAGCTTTTTTTTTAAAAATATACTAGACAAAGTTTTGTAAGTGTGAAATGGCAGACTAGGTAACCAAAATGTTCCTGTTGTCCTTTTCCTAGGGGCAAAACCCTTTCAAGACTGATGAATTCATCGATTCGGATTCCCACCTTGAGTCATCCTTCATATTGGAGCGCTCTACAAGGCCTGGTACAGCTGTTTTGCCTGCTGTTTCATTAATATTGACTGCTATTATCAGACTTGCAGGTTGACGTAAATTCTGACGGGGTTAGATAAGGCGTATCTCCTCAAGAACTCATTCTGTGTTAGGCAAAGTTCATGGCAGATTAGAGTGATGGACTTGGCACACATTGTTCATCATAACTGTTGTTTTGTTGTTGTTTCTTACAGCCATGCCTTCCAGCCAGCCCATCGATATCCCTGATGCCAAGAAGAGAAATAAGAAGAAAAAGAGATGCAGAGCCACTGACAGTTTTTCCGGACGTTTTGAAGGCAAGCGGTTTTGTCTGTCCTCAAGTTTGCAGTTGAGCTTTACTATCTGTTGTGTAAAAAAAAAAAAATACCCCTGTTCTTCTTTACAGATGTTTACAAACTACAAAATGAGGTTCTTGGAGAAGGGGCTTATGCTGTTGTACAGACCTGCATCAATCTGATCACCAATAAAGAATACGCAGTAAAGGTCAGTATCAATTGATGATAATCCAGTATAATGCAAAATGAGCTATAATCAGCGTTCATACTGTTAACAAATAATCAGTTTCTTATCTACATGCAGGTTAAACTCCATTTACTAAAGTTTTTTTTTTTAACATATTGCACCCAGAATGGTTTTAATCCTTTTTAGCAGTGTTTGAAATGGAAGTGATGATTTTACACCTCACTGCACTGATTGTTTTTAAGCAAGTTCAATGTCACTGCAGTCAGAATCTAGGGAGTGAAAGCAAAGTTAATGCACTTTACCCAAATGCTTTTTCATTATACAGTTGAAGTCAGAATTATTAGCCCCGCTTTGAATTTTTTTTATCTTTTTTTTAAACATTTCACAAATGATGTTTTACAGAGCAAGGAAATTTTCACAGTATGTCTGATAATATTTTTTTCTTCTGGAGAAAGTCTTATGTGATTTATTTCGGCTAGAATAAAAGCAGTTTATTTTATTTTTTTTAAAACATTATAAAAACATTACAAGGTCAAAATTAATCGCCCCTTTAAGCTAATTTTTTTTTAGACTACAGAACAAACCACCGTTATACAGTAACTTGCCTAATTACCTTATCCTGCCTAGTTAACCTAATTGACCTAGTTTAGCCTTTAAGCTGTATAGAAGTGTCTTGAAAAATATCTATTCATTCGTTCATTCATTTTCTTGTCGGCTTAGTCCCTTTATTAATCCGGGGTCGCCACGGCAGAATGAACCTCCAACTTATCCAGCAAATTTTTACACAGCGGATGCCCTTCCAGCTGCAACCCATCTCTGGGAAACGACCACACACACATTCACACACGCACTCATACACTACAGACAATTTAGCCTAATAATTCAGGGAGGCTAATAATTCTGACTTCAACTGTATATAAATATTCATAAAATAATACTTTCATATTTTTAAAAATGCTGTAAATCTATAAATATTTTTAAAGCACCAGTTATGATTGCTTGCTTTTGTTAATGACATTAATTAAGTAAATGATATATTTTCTTTATGCTGGAGAAATTATTTTTTTTAAATAACTCTTTATTTGAAATTTAATTTAGTCTTCATATTATAGCTCTTTCTGTTTAAAAATGGTCTTCCACCATTGTGCAACTACAGCAACAGTTGCATTTAAATTGGATTGCATGTGCACGTTGTGTGCATATTTGCAAGATGTATTTGACTCATATTTGCAAGATGTATTTGACACAAGAAGCATGAATTGAGCCAAGGATGCAAGCAAACATAAATATGTCCTGTCTTCAGTATAGTGTTATGTATTATAAGTTAGTTTATTCTGGGACATTTGCTCAACATCAGTGTTTGTAATGTTGGATGCTAGCTTCGATTAACAGTTGTTCGAGCTGTGTTCTTCTAACCAGTGTTATTTGTTGTGTTACTCTGGAACAATGGCCTTCCAGCTACTGTGCTGCTGCAGCTGTGCAACAAAAATAAATGACCACAGTGCGTGCTCAGCAGAGAAACTTCCTCTTTTCAATTGTTTATATTGTAAAGCAGGACATCTAATCTTTGAAAAAACCAACACAGTGCCTCTGGTTTCATCTATTTGACCTCTAGTTGATATAAAGGTAATATCTAAAGGAAATGAAACGTGTGGCATTTCATAGCAAATGTTCTGTAATTTCCCGAAAGGAACAGAAAATTGAAATCCGCAGGTTCTCCACATGGCCCATGTCTTGGAATATTGTTAAATCCCCATGAGCTGTTGCTGTACTGAAAGGAGAATCACTCTGAGTTGATCACTCTGTGCAAGAAACTCTCATTTATTTACCACAATTCATATAATCCACAGCCTCGGCCAACGTTCCAGACTGTTTTCAACCCACTCGAAGTTTTGGGAATCTTAAAATCGTACTCATTAGAAACAGAGAAAAAATAAAAAGTAAACTCATTAGAAACGGAGTACTCTTAAAGTTTTGGGTCTGCAAGATAATATAATGAATACTACTTTTATGAACACTTATTTTTATAGATATTTAACATGTTTTCTAACCAAAATTGCATTTACTCAGTTTACTCAATCTGTGATTCCAAATATTTGTTTCTTTCAATATTTTCCATCTATTGAAGAATGTTGACAACCATAGTAGAATACTATATAAATGGAATACTTTTAAAGTCGATGGCAACCAGTTTCCAAAATTTGTTCTTGTAAAAAGGAATTTTACTTTGTGAACTAAACTGTCAATTTAATACCATTATTTAGGAAAGATGCATAAAATTCATTTATAGTGGCAAATATTTTATAATATAGTTTCTTTTAGTATTTGCTTTTCTGAAATTATTGAATATATAATATCACCCGATGTCTATTTGAAAAGAAATCATTTCGAAAAATTGGGAGGATTTTTATTAGACTATATAATAACAGATTATTATTAAAATATAATAAACCAATCACAAACCTTGAGAAATATAGTACAACATTAACACTACAAACAAAATATACAGTGCTAAATGATATTCTGGAAGACTAGCAATATTTAGATGCAGAAATTTAAAAATCAAACGTAAAAAGACAATATTTAGTGCATTACATAAATTTAATATTTACATCTATAAATATCTATCTATATATATAATATAATAAATTTTAAATAAAAATTTAATTTTTTTTTGCCTGGATACTTTTTAACTGAATTAAATTATTAAAGACGCGCATAAATAAAAAATGTTTTGGTAACTCCAAAAATCATGAGTGTTTTCCAAAATTCGGTCAATAATACTGATTCAACATTGCAAATCCTGCGATGCGAGTATTGTGGTACGAAACTATTATGCTGAAACTATGTATTGTGCAGCTCTTTTTTCTTCTTCTATAAAAGTCAATTACGGTTTTTCTTCAGAAAACATTGTTGACATGGTTGAGAACATGATCATTGTCCTGCACCCAGTAACAGGTATTTGGTTCTCTACTTTAGTTTTTCAATTTTATCTACTGTTTATAATTAGGGGACAGCCATTAGTTTGTGCACACAAGGTGTGGACGGCCTGTATGTTGTGAAACTTGATCATCTGTCTTGTCCTCTGGCTATTAAAGCCTGATGACCATGTGCCGACCTGCTGAATCAGGGGTCCGAGATGTTCTTTTGTAGACTGGCAGTGGCGTGTCATCTGTGTGCCTGTTAATCTCCCACATATGCGGTGTGTGGGTGATGAACAAAAGGACACGTAGATCTGTCGACTCCAGCTCAATATGACATGCTCCTGTTTGGAAGTTTTGCAGCTTGAAATGCAGTATTATACCATCTCCAGGTTGTAAAAAAATAAAAAAAGCCAGTCAAAACAAACTCGCAATGTTCTGACCTTGAATGGCGGGACTCTGTGTGCTTCCTTGAGTTTGTATTGGGTCATTTAAGTTGATCTTTCAATGTTATTCAGATAATTGAGAAGAGGCCGGGCCACAGTCGGAGCCGTGTCTTCAGGGAGGTGGAAATGCTGTACCAGTGTCAGGGCCACAGGTATGGGGATACTTTATTCACACTACTTTACAAAGCCTCTACAAAGTTTTGGTTTTGTCAAACATGATTTTTTAGGTGAAAACTTTGTCCGAAGGATGTAATTAACAAAAAAAAAACAACAAAAAAAAAACAGTTGTGGACTATAGGAACTTGTTTCTTTACATCAAAACAAATTTTTAGATGTTTACTTGTACCTGTATAGCCTTTTTGTGAACACTTGTTCCAAAAAAGGTGCATTATAAATAAATTATTTGATTGATTGAATTACATGTAGTTGCAGATTTTCTGACAAGCATTCCAGTGGTGGGAGACTAAATCCAATACAGTAGACCTAGAGAGGAAGAAAAAAAGTAGTAATCTAAAGTATTGATTTTTAAAGGTGCTTAAATAATTTGTCCATTAATTGTTACTTTTTTGCGGCAGAGTATTTTGGAGATCTTAACATTTCTAATTGTAGACTATTAAAATTAATTGTTAAGGATTTTATGGTAGAGTAAATAAACTTGTGCCTAAATACTGTTGTTTTTTCTGGACAGAAACATTTTGGAACTGGTGGAATATTTTGAGGAAGAGGACAAATTTTATTTAGTCTTTGAGAAACTGAGAGGCGGTAAGTAAGTGTTTTTATATATGTGTGTGCTTATGAATATGTATGTATGTAGCATGTTTAATTGAGAATTATGCAAATCTTTATTTTAAATGATTGAGATGAGTATTCGTTTTCGCAGAAAAGTTAAGCCGTAATACCATTTTTAAAATCAATAGTAGTGTTTTTGAGCACTAAATTACAATGATTTTTGAAGGATCGTGTGACATTTGGAGTATCCTTAATATCATTCCAATATTAAATTCAAAATTCCTTTCACAAATTAATGTTTTGGTGTATTCCAATCACATGAATGCTGCTTTTGAGTATTAAAGTGGCCTTTTTATCCCTTTTACAAGATGTAAGAAGGCTTTGGTGTCTCCTGAATGTGTCTGGAAACTAGAACATTTCAGGTCAAAATACCCTTCAGATAATATATTATAGCCTTTAAAATATAACCATTTTAGTGTCTGAGGAGTGTAGCTGTTTTTGGAGCCTGTGGCTTTAAATGCAAAAGAGCAGCTTCTCCCCGCCCACCTTTCCCACGTGCGTGTCTGCTTCTCCTGCATTACATCAGAGAAAAAGCCGTCAGTGATAGAGACTGACTCGGATGAAGCTGAAATACACTTCATAGTTTATTCAAGTCTTTCTGAATTGAGTCACACACAAATGCCGTTTGCAGCACACACACATATACGCGTTTAATGACACAATGCGGTTTAACTGTCTTTATTACAAACATGCTCCATTTTAAAGGTTTTAAACTTGTAAAACTTATAAAAATCACAAAGTTGTAAAAAAATATTTTAATCCCAGTTTATATGCAAATTTGTTTTTCTTTGGACATGTTGTTATTATAGAAACATAGCACCTGTCGATCAATTTGGTGGGCGGGGAAAATCACACTCCTACGTCATGTTGCGGTGGGCCTTTACATAAATGGGATTTGGATCCTATTTTAACATCAGGAAATAAAATTAAAAAAAAAGACTTATTGTTTACATCACACCTATATGACTGGACACTATACTTACACTCAGATGATTTTTATCATAGGTGCCCTTTTAATAGAAAAATGACCTTCCTTAATATTAAACTATTGTCTGTATTCATTAAATAATCTAAATGATTCGTAATCTTGATGAATCCTTTCATTCTTTCAGGTTCAATCTTGACTCACATACACCGAAGACAACACTTCAATGAACAGGAAGCCAGCATAGTGGTGCAGGACATCGCCAGCGCACTGGACTTCCTTCACAACAAAGGTCAGGATCCGTTTCAGCGTTAAAACAAGGTCTTGTCTCAATGCACATATAGACATCATATGCTCATAATGTCTTCGCTTTGCTGTAGGGATGGCACATCGAGACCTAAAGCCAGAGAACATCCTTTGTGAACACAGTGACAGGGTGAGTCTCTCTCTGTATATGAGGAGACATGAAACATCTGAGGAGAACACACATGCACTGCTTTTCTGACCAGATTTTTGACTATCTTTTGGGTACAGTAATTTATTTTTATTTTGTTTTATTTTTGGTGCTGTTGAACAACCCGGTTATCTGTTGAGTAGTATTCAATGCCTTTTTCATCTGCTACATATTTTAATTTAATTTATTTTACGAGGTTGTTTTTCATTTCATCTGTAGATTTCTCCAGTGAAGATCTGTGATTTTGACTTGGGAAGCGGGATCAAGCTGAATAGTGACAGCTCTCCCATCTCCACCCCTGAACTCTTGACTCCAGTGAGTTAAACCCCTTAAGGATGTCAGGCCAGTTATTTGGCTGCTGTTATTTAGACAGACAGACACACACACACACAATTTAAAACTAGTCTAAGTTTCATTTTTGCCATTGGACCACAAAACCAGTCTTAAGTTGAATGGATATATTTATTGCAATAGCCTGAAATTTATTGCATTTTATCAATGCCTTGTAAATGATCGATTTTTGTTGTGCCAAACATAATGAGAAAATTAAGTAAAGATCATGTTCCATGTAGATTTTTTTTGTAAATTGTGCTGTTAATTGTTTTGATTAGTAATGCACACTGTTTAGCACTTTATTTGGATAACGGTTGAAAATTATTTTTGTAAATCTATATATACTTTTTGAGTGACCAATTTTCTAATATAAGATTTCAGGTTTTTAAATGTGTTATTTCTGCCAAATTTTGTACTGTCTTGACAAACGAAGCTTCTATGAAATGCTTTAGTCAGCTTTCTGTTAAAGCAGTGGTTCTCAATTACTGCACATTTTGTATGTCTGAACACACCTGATTCAGATCATCAGCTTGTTAACAGATTCATGAACTAATCTTTGTGCGTCAAATAAGAGACATAAGCTGCGTCCCAAATGGCACACTATACACTATGCACTCATGCACTATGTACTTATGCACTTACACACTCAACAGGATAGTAAAAAAACATAAGTGTGCCATTTGGGACGAGACTACATAACATATACTAAGCGGAAATTCAAACTGTTTCCCTGATGACGTTTGACGGTTGCCAAATCAGTGAAATAAACGACCGACTTATCAAATATTACCTGCCGTGAGTATAACCGCATTCACCATCGGCAGGCGCTATAATCACTCTCGTAGGAGAATTTTCCTTTCACCATCCAAAATAAATAAAGTTATCTAACATGTGCGCCCGATAGCTCCACCGCTTCCGCTACGTAAGCAAACCTGCGGACGTTAAGTGCGTGAAGTGTCCATCATTCCACACTTCATTTTAGCAGCTGAATGAGTGCATCATCCGGGTAATTAAAGTGCACGTATTATTTTTAGAGTTTTCAGTGTGAACACACTACTTATGCACTATTCTATGCCATTTTGTAGTATAAATAGTATAAGTATGCGATTTGGGAGGCAACTATACAAAATGTGCAGGGCATGGGGGGCCCAAGGACCGCAACTGACAAGCAGAGAGACTCTGTCGAAATCGCATACTTTCATAGTATATACTGTAGTACGCTAAAATCAGCATTCGAGCCAAGTAGTATGTCTGAATTCACAGAATTTCGAAAAAAACGTATGCGAGAAGTACCCGGAAGTTTTACTACTTTTGGCAAGATTCTGGTGTGTGCATCCAATGCACACTGCACTATCCCATGGTGCCCTGGGAGAGAATTTATGAATAGGAGTGAATCGATGTTACTCACGCGGGTGTGGCATGTGATCATGACAAAGTGGCAGATGTTGCACATCCGAGTTCCATACTGCTCACATTCATATTGTATGGAACATACTTTTCTATCGGCCGAGTAGTACATTCAAATTCAAATGCAGTACCTACTGAGTATTAGGTGGTTTTGGACAACCCAAGTTGATGAATCCCAATATCATTAATGTACACTTATGACTGGTTTTTGTAACTCTGAACCACAGATTATTTGTATAAATTAAATTATTTCAAAAATCAACGAGGGAAAAAATGGAATTGACAAAATATTGCAGATTTATACTTTATGTAGATGCTTCTTGATACTATTGTATTTTTAGCTCAATTTTTTTTTTCAATTCTGCCCATTAAACTTTTATTATTATTATTATTATTATTATTATTATTATTATTATTATTATTTCTCCATGAGATGTCAATAACATTTAAATAGATTTTCATGAATCACTAGCTAGTCATGGATTTAAAGTCAGATTTTATTGGTACTTCATTGCACTGTTGTCCTAGATATCCATATAAGAACATCAAAGATAAAGGTTGTTGATTTTTAAGCCACCGCCAATAAACCTTCAAGTGGTCACCACCAGTAACTGAGTTTTGTGAGTGTTGAACCTTTTTTTTTTTTTATGAGTAGGATTACCATAGGTCACTGAATTATAGCAAGATTACAGATTAAGGAGCATAGTAGAATACAAGTTGTTTTATCAGCTCTCCTGATGTCTGAAAGGTAAAGGCAAAGGTCTTTAGATGTAAAATCCGACATGTCCAGAGAGCATAAACACAATTCCTCATGGAGGTCTTTTCACCTCCCTCGCTCGCCACACCCTGGGGTTTTTAAACGCTTTTGAAGCACTCAGACATGGTTACTAGAGCCTTGTGGTTTTATATGGTCTGTTCTTCTTCCTGATGTCTACAGACTTTTTCTTTTGTTTTTTTTCCCTATGAAGAATTTCCTCTTTAATGGGAAGGGGGTTGGTCAGAACTCGGTCAGTGTTCCTTCTGCACATTTTAAAATTTTTTTATTTGATCATAACTGCTCCAAGATGTTTGAGAGCAGATCCATGGTAGGGCTGGGCGATTTAATTGAAATCGAAATTCAGAACTTTTTTTTCAATTACTTTCCCCACTGTGTAGTCATGTGACCCCGCTCTAAGACTGAATTATACTTATTATATTATGATTGATACTCATTATATTATTATGATATTATACTTCTGCCAAGGGCGTATGTACAGTCTGGCGCAGGCTTCACATACCGCGTGCTTTTCAAAAAAATTTAATTTAACGTCACAACGGCACTTAGCGCAAGCTTTGTGACTAGACTGTTTGGTAGCGGTGACGACGGTGGGTGGCGCAGAGTTGTGTTCTAGGCAATGTGTGTTTTAATTTCAGTTGTTCAGCGTTGATGTTTAAATAAATAATTATAGATAGTAGATGGTGTGTGTTTGCTTTATTTTAAAATCAAGCAATACACTCATTTAAAAAAATCTCTCACTTGTTATATAAGCATATTTACGGTCCAAAACTTGTCAGTGAACTATAAGGGCAAAAACATAAAATAAAAATAAATTAAATAATAGTTCATTAATTATAATAGTTTTCAATTAAACAAGATTTTGATTTTTACGCCAAATTGCCCAGCCCTGATCCATGGCATTTCAATAAAATAAGGTTAAAGGTTTAGATCACCAAAAAAAAATAAAAATCATGTTTTGCAAACGCTTAATTTTTTTTCATATTTGTATCACAAATACAAATATTTAAAATTAATCTTAACTTTAATGCCTAATTAAGTTATTTACTTTGTCATGTTTTTTTTTTTACTACAAAGTAACCTGAAACATTTCATATTAGAGTTTTCAATATGAGCACACAAGCCAACTCCTATTTCATTTTCAATTTAATGGGCTAGTTCACACAAAAATAAACATTTTTCCATATCTTATTATGGAACCACTTAAAAAAATAATAAAGTACCAATAATAATGAGTACGAAGGTATTCTAACAATTTTCATAATATCTTATTGTAATGTACAGAAACTCAAACCAGTGGAGGCTTGGATTTAGGTTCAAGATGCATAAATTATTTTTCTTTTCTTTTTTTTTTCTTTTTAAGTTTTTTTTTTTTCCTGAAACTATCAGTGTTTCATAAATTGGAAGTCCAGCAAAACAAAATGAACAACATTGGCTTCTGACAACCTTGTGGTCCTGTTGTGCACAACAGTAACATTAATTTTCAGCATTTCCTTTAATCCACAGCCTATACAAATGGCAAACAGTGCATTCATGATGGAGAAGCTTATTGTGTAGGTGCATGAATGTATGTATTGTCAGGAGCCACTGGTGTTTATTCATTTATTTATTTATTTGCTCAAATTGCAGGTTGCTGTTGAAATGCTTATTGTAGATCACTAAAACTTCTGTAATGTTCTGCTAAAGAAGGGAAGTCTAAATCTTGTGTTGCATAGAGTATTTAAAAGGAAAGTGCTGTTGAATTACTCTAATCCATTTCCCCTTAGCTGTTCTTAGGAAGTTTACACCCACAATTGCGGTTTTACTTGCTAGAATAGTGACCAGGGAAAGTCCCTGGTTTTGTCCAAACCAAAGTCCTCTCTTGCCAAGATGACATTCCCTCCATAAACCATGTTACTGAAACTGACACAATGCTACCGCTATCTGCCCCATTACCCTTTTGTGCCAAGCAAATCCTAACCCTGTAGTCTGCATTGTTTGTTTTTCCTCTTTAACGATATGAGGACGCAGCAGGTCTGTCCATGATAGTAGACAGAGGAGGCTTTGTATGATGCTCATAAGATTCCTCCTGCAAAGAGGAGCATTATGTAAAAGCCCAGTCATGCTGAAAGTAGGAACGCCAGGCAATATACTGACAATCGGGGATCATCGTTGGTCTGTGTGTTGAATCACAGAGGAGCTCTTTTTTTTTTTTTTTTTCCCCCCACATGAGACAAGTACTTTAGCTGTTTGCCTAGTGCAAATGGTTCGATTGTGCTCCAATAATCAGCTGACCTGTCATTAGCATCAATTTCAGTTGCTTGTACTTATTACAAATACGCTGAATCAGAAGAGCAGCCAGCCTGACCCTTTCTATTTTTGCCTGTTATCGGGTTCCCTTGAAAGTGAGGTTCCTGACATTTCAATAAAAGATTTGATGATTTGAGGGAACATGGAGTGTTCTTACGAGGTTACCGAGGCTCGGGCAAATATCTGTCATGGTCAAAGGACAGTCCTGGATGAAATTTTTTTTTTTTTTTTTTTTTTAGGATGTCAAATAAGGACATGCCGCCTCTTTCCCTTTGGCCTGCACACAAACATGGACATAATATCTTTAGCTTCCTCCGTTTGCATCAGTGACTCATAGTTATGTAACCATCTTTTACCAGACCACTGCACTTTCATAAAAATAAATCTGTCTGCATGTGGCATGCTAAACTGCTAACCTCCTCTGTTCACTCCCACTGAGTGTTTTTATCTGTTGCATTAGTGCATCATTCAGGGGATCTGTTTGTATGCGTGTGTTATGTAACACTCGAGCAGGGTTGGGACTTGTTTATCCACAGCCGGTGTAGAGGCTTAAATCCTTTACCCCCCCCACCCCCCACCCCCCACCCCCCCACCCGCCCCTCGAGCAGCAACCTTTTGGCCTAGTTTCCACATGACGCAGTGCAGACAGAAGCAGTGGCAGCCTGTGGGCTCTGCTGGAACAGTTGTCCGCTGACGTGTCCAGGTCTGAATCGGATCAGGCCACCCTAGCTTAACTGGGAACAATGAACTTGATAATGCCTCTGCAGGTGAAAACAAACAGGGGAGGCCAAGCTCAGGGTGTGCTGCCAGCTCTGTTGTAGCTTTGGTTGCTCATCTTGTAATTGTTCTTGGTCATCAGGACATGTTGTCCAATTTACTGATATTCTGATAAAACATGGTACTGAGTGTATTTGTAATAAACATAATGTGAAAGCAGAACTAGAGACTCAATTGTTCCCCTCACATCTACATACTGGTGTCCTTGTAGCATTTAAAAACCGCATGGGGGATTTATAGACTTTTCCTTGCATGTCCGATGACTAAATGTACTTTCCCCCTGTGGTGCATCCTATTAAAACAGTTTCTGAAATGAGAATGTATGGCGGTGCATGATTTTGTTTTTTAGAAAGAAACTGGATCATAGAAAAATGAGTGTTGCTAATAAAATGGAGCAAGATTTGAATGACAGTTTATACTCCGTGTAGAGGGTTACTGTCCACTGGAATCACCATCGACACTCTCTGGTGCAGAATGATTTCAGATGCCAGATGATAACCACTTTAGTAAAATTTACCACCTCATTCTAATATCATATTTGTTTAAATCACTGCCTACCTTGAAGACCAGGCAGAAACCAGACTCACTCTTATAGCTCCGCACTAAAGAACTGATAGCCCTGTTTTAAAACGGTTTTAATGTAAGAGGAAAGGTTGTGGTAATCGAAAAATTTTATAGGGGCAAACTTATTTATTTATTTATTTTTTTACAAGATAATGAAGTGCGCAGATGCATTGTTTACAGCAGCACTATATACTTTTAAAACTATAAAGAGTATTTTAATTTGATGCCAACATTTAAGGTTTATATATACAAATACCCTGTTTATTATCCCCCCCCATTTAACAGAAGAGATTTTTTTTATTATGAGTTATTAGAAACTCATTTCTAATAACTGATTTATTTACTCTTTAACATGATGACAGTAAATGTTTGACTAGATATTTTCAAGGCACTTCTATACAGCTTAAAGTGACATTTAAAGGCTTAACCAGGTACATTAGGCAAGTTATTGTATAACGATGGTTTGTTCTGTACACCTATCGAGGGGAAAAAAATAGCCCAAAAGGGCTAATAATTTTGTCCTTTTAAAATGTTTTTTAAAAACATTTAAATTGCTTTCATTCTGGCCTAAAGACTTTCTACCAGAAAAAAATATTATCAGACATACTGTGAAAATGTCCTTGCATTGTTAAACATCATTTGGAAAATATTTCAAAAAGAAAAGATTCATAGGGGGCGCAATAATTCTCACTTCAACTGTATTTTATCAACATGTTTTTTTTGTTTCTTTTAACAGTGTGGCTCAGCTGAATACATGGCCCCAGAAGTGGTGGAGGCCTTTAATGAAGAAGCCAGCATCTACGACAAGCGATGTGACCTGTGGAGCCTTGGAGTCATCCTCTACATAATGCTGAGTGGATACCCGCCATTTGTTGGTCGCTGTGGGACAGACTGTGGCTGGGATTGGGGAGAGCCCTGCCAAGCCTGCCAGGTAAACAACACACTTTTAAATGTTCAAATATCAAAAGTGCTAAAGGCTTTAAAACTTCCTGTAGAACTGCAATAATGGGTGCATTCTAGAAAACCGTGGTCTCGTCTTGTTTGGGGAGATTGCCCTGTTACAAAAATTTTCTTTGTGGTTATTAATTTCATTCATTAAGTCATCTTCTTTCGGCTTAGTCCCTTAGTCACCACAGCGGAAAGAACTGCAGGTTATCAATTTAGATATCCAAAAAAAAAGTAAGCCATTAAATCATAGGATATCAGTGAAAGCAGGCAACATGTTGGCTCAGTGTTCAGCACTGTCGCATTACAGCAAGAAGGTCACTGGTTCGAGTCCCGGCTGGGCCAGTTGGTATTTCGGTGTGGAGTTTTCATGTTCTACTCATGTTTGCGTGGGTTTCCTCTGGGTGCTCCAGTTTCCCCCCATAGTCCACACAAATGTGGTATAGATGAATTAGGTAAACTAACTTGGCTGTGGCATATGAGTGTGTATGGATGTTTCCCAGTACTGGGTTGCAGCTGGAAGGTCATCTGCTGTGTAAAACATTCTGGATAAGTTGGTGGTTCATTCCGCTGTACCGACCCTGATGAATAAAGGGACTAAGCCGAAGGAAAATGAATGAATATCACTGAAAGCATAATATACTGCCTTCCACAGAGCATGCATTGAAGCTAGGATTTTATTTGTCTATTTATTTTTGTTTCTGAGAAAGGAAATGGCCATTTTTTAAATTGAGATTGTGATTTGAGGTTTGGATCATGAGCCCTAGTGATAGTGGTGGTACTAGTGTACTTCAAACATAGTAAATTCTCATTTCTCATCTCAATGCATTCACAGAGCATGCTGTTTGAGAGTATTCAGGAAGGCAAATATGAGTTTCCAGAGAAAGATTGGGCACACATCTCCCCTGCAGCCAAAGACCTCATCACCAAACTATTGGTACGGGATGCCAAAGACCGCCTCAGTGCCGCCCAAGTCCTGCAGCACCCATGGGTCAAAGGGGTATGTTGATTTCTTTCCCTCTCTTGGACATTTATTTTACTCTTAAATGTTTTGTTCAACTAAATTCAATAATCTGTCATTTTTCCACTCATTTTGTTTCAAACCCATTCGAAGTTTGTTCAAGAAATTATATTTCAAAATTAACCAAGTTCAAATCGTTTATCGGTACAAAAATTGTTGGACAGCAGACACTACGATTCTGAAATGAGTGTTTGCTCTGCTTCATGCATCACACGTTGCAGATTTCACTGATCATAGAACTAGATTGATAGATGATTGACAGGATGTATTGTGCACCAAATCCTTAAGGGTTATTGTTGCACATTTAAATGTTCCATCTGTGTGTACTGTCTCTCTCAATACACAGACTACATTACTCTACAATCTCGATTTTGAAAAGGAAACTAAAGCATGCGTTTAAAAGTGACTTTACACAATTGAAGCATTCGAGTGGTGGAACATCTCAAGTTTCATTGAAATGTCTTCATTTGTGTTTAAAAATAGAGTCTCAATGGTTTAAAATGACATGAGGCTACTTAAAGAACTAATCAGATTTTGGGTGTATTGGGAGTTTAATTTTGCCGATTTGTAATAAAAGAACTTAGTCTTTCATGTCGTAGTATCATGTAGCTGTATATCATGTCTTGTGGCTAACTTCTGTTGTACTTCTCTTTAGTGTGCACCCAACACTGTGTCTGCATCCATACTACATCAGAGGTATGTATAGTGCCTTCTTATACTCCTCTAAATCTCATCCAGCAAACATAAATAGCAGATTAATATTGGCGCACATGACCTTCATTGTGCTCTCTCAGGGGCGGCAGTGCTCAGGACCTGACGTTCTTTGCGGGGCAGGCTGTAGCCATGAACCGGCAGCTGGCAAAGAGGGAGGAGAGTGAGGATCTGTCTCTGTCCTCTCCTCTTCTCTCCAGCAGCTCTGGCTCCATGCTGTTGTCTCCTCCGTCCAGATCCAAGCTGGCCCACCGCAGGAAGACCGCCAGCAGTCAGCACAGAGGACCAGTGTGTGCTGCTGAACTCCGCCAGCTCCTCGCCCCGCTCGTGATCGTGGGCGACTGTGCCTGATTATCATGACCTTCACCAGCCTTCGATCTCCCCTGTCGACCTCTATATGAATCTTCGACTAGGCAGTATGTTGATCCCTGACCTCTCTGCCCACTCGCTTTGTGGGTCTAAAGCGCTTATGGGAAGGACTCGCATGTTTGTAGCACTTAAAGCACCTCAAAAGTCCCCAAAAACAAAGTTTTGATTGGGTAAAAAGGCTGTTGTGGCTGGAAAGAGACTTGTTGACGTCTGAGAGTCCCGGGAATCTGTCAATATACAATGATGTTTACAAAAAACCTTGAAAACCAAAGGATTTAAGCTGCTTTCATATGGGACCCCACTTAAATCATTTATCTTCAAAGCATCAGGAAAAATAACTTCTGCTGTTTGCCTTTTGTGCTCGTGTCGGGACCTCCAGCGGCTGAATGATTTGTATTTCTACAGTCTTGGGGATTTATTAATCCTCTAGTCACTCGTAATGGTGGCAGACTGTGACTAATTTTTGCAATAACTGTTGCTCGGACTTGTGGAAAACGATTGATTTATTCATTCAAGTCATTCAGGGCGGAAATGGTAGCCATGTTGTGTGGGGTTTTGCAGTCCTGATTCTGTTTATCAAGAACCTCATGTAACCAAACTTCAATCCACCGCTTTACTGTAATGACACTTGATTCTGCCCAAAACAAAGCGGAGCTGAAACCTCTGAATGGAGAACCAAAGCAGATCTTACAGCAGAAAGACACATTCTGTGTAAATGAATTTTACATTTAATTTTGTCCTTGCACTGGAAAGTTTGCCTCTTTCATGGAGCAGTGCAGCACAGCTTCTGTATTTGGCTTCTCAGGAAAACAGGAATTGGTTGCACAATCATATTTCCTCCCTTAATGTCCTGAATTGCCATGCCATGGGGGTTTTAAGTAACTGACAGAGGTGCATTTCTAACTCCCTTTTCACTATTCATTCAGTTAGTCATTGAACATTTTCGTGGACACACAGGCTCCATCAATGACCGTATTCACTGTTTGAATAAAGGTGATCATTCCATCAAAAGACCTTAAGTACTCTGTTAGCCTCTTTTTTGTGCTTGTAGACAGACATCTGAGAATAAGATGTGCAGAAATTCTCCAGACACACCAATGTGCCATGCTGCTGTTATTTTGCCCCCTTTTAATTTTAATTTATGTGTGTGTTAGGAAGGGAGATTTTCATCTTCCTTTTTTAAAGCATTTAAATGTTTTTAAAAGTTTGTGTGTTGTTTGTTTGTTTGTTTGTTTGTTTGTTTGTTTGTTTGTGTTGTGGTCCTCAATAAGTGCTGATAAAGACCAAAGCTAATTTTTTTCTAAATTGTTACTGATGTTCCTTGTTGACTGTAGACACTTTAATGTTTTTTTTTTCTCTCAATTCTTCTCAAATATTTTTATATTTATATAGTCACTAGCAAATATCCAGATCAACCATTAAATGAACCAAGTGCTCGAACTCACTTTGAGTAAAAAAAACTTTTCCCCTCTTTTGTTAGTTGGTGGTTTGTCTTACAGTAAGACATGAAATGCATATACATGCAGTTGGTTCTGTCTTTTTTTTGTTTTTGTTTTTGATGGAAAGCACCCTGGAAATATGCTGAGTGTAGTCTTTCTGAGAAAGACCTTTGCTATTTTTGTTTTTGATTAGGTTTTTTTTTTTTTTTTGTTGTTGTTGGGCATTGCGGTTTTCATAGAATGTTCTGACCCCCCTCCACTACATGAATGACTAATCTACACTTATTTCAGGGACCTGTGGTGTAGTATGTTGTATCTTGTATTTTCATGTGGTTGTACCATTTTTGTTTTTTATTTAACTATGGGGAGGCAAAATAAAGAACATGGAAAATTGTTCAACTACACAGTTGTTGTACTTTTTATTGAAGGACAAACAAATCGAGAACCAACAAAGACGCTCAATTCAATTTCTGCTAGATGAATATATCTGCATCAGTAAACTGAAGACTTTTTTTTTTCTTTTAAGAAATATAAAATTAATCATTCACAATGGGAAAATACTTATTGATGTGCCTATACGATGCTATTTTAGAGATTTCCTAAATAGCCAGACCTTTCATTGGTGGAAAACATTGATTCAGCGCATCATTAATATCACGTAGCATCTCTAATTTCTCACAGACAACACTACTCTATCATCACTAGTCTCTCATCATTACTCTCTTGGACATCACTAGTCTCTTGTCACTACTCTCTTACTGGACAACACTAGTCTCTCAATACTACTCTTGTACTGGACAACACTAGTCTCTCGTCACTAGTCTCTTACTGGACAACGCTAGTCTCTCATCACTACTCTCTTACTGGACAACACTAGTCATCACTACTCTTACTGGACATCACTAGTCTCTTACTGGACAACACTAGTCATCAGTAGTCTCTCTTCACTAGTCTTTTGCTGGGCAACACTAGTCTCTTATCACTAGTCTCTTACTGGACAACATTAGTCATCACTAGTCTCTTACTGGACAACACTAGTCTCTAATCACTGGTCTCTTACTGGACAACACTAATCTCTCGTCACTAGTCTCTTACTGCACAACATTAGTCATCACTACTCTCTTACTGGAAAACACTAGTCATCACTAGTCTCTTACAGGACAACACTAGTCATTACTAGTCTCTTACTGGACAACAGTAGTCTCTCATCACAAGTCTCTTACTGGACAACACTAATCTCGCGTCACTAGTCTCTTACTGGACACCAGTAGTCTCTCGTCACTGGTCTCTTACTGGACAACAGTAGTCTCTCATCACTAGTCTCTTACTGCACAACACTAATCTCGCGTCACTAGTCTCTTACTTGACAACAGTAGTCTCTCATCACTAGTCTCTTACTGCACAACACTAGTCTCTCATCACTAGTCTCTTACTGCACAACACTAGTCGCTCATCACTAGTCTCTTACTGGACAACAGTAGTCTCTCATCACAAGTCTCTTACTGGACAACACTAATCTCGCGTCACTAGTCTCTTACTGGACACCAGTAGTCTCTCGTCACTGGTCTCTTACTGGACAACAGTAGTCTCTCATCACTAGTCTCTTACTGCACAACACTAATCTCGCGTCACTAGTCTCTTACTTGACAACAGTAGTCTCTCATCACTAGTCTCTTACTTGACAACAGTAGTCTCTCATCACTAGTCTCTTACTGCACAACACTAGTCTCTCATCACTAGTCTCTTACTGCACAACACTAGTCGCTCATCACTAGTCTCTTACTGGACAACAGTAGTCTCTCATCACAAGTCTCTTACTGGACAACACTAATCTCGCGTCACTAGTCTCTTACTGGACACCAGTAGTCTCTCGTCACTGGTCTCTTACTGGACAACAGTAGTCTCTCATCACTAGTCTCTTACTGCACAACACTAATCTCGCGTCACTAGTCTCTTACTTGACAACAGTAGTCTCTCATCACTAGTCTCTTACTGCACAACACTAGTCTCTCATCACTAGTCTCTTACTGCACAACACTAGTCGCTCATCACTAGTCTCTTACTGCACAACAGTAGTCTCTCGTCACTAGTCTCTTACTGGACAGCACTAGTCTCTCATCACTGGTCTCTTACTGGACAACACTAATCTCGCGTCACTAGTCTCTTACTGGACAACAGTAGTCTCTCGTCACTAGTCTCTTACTGGACAACACTAGTCTCTCATCACTGGTCTCTTACTGGACAACAGTAGTCTCTCGTCACTAGTCTCTTACTGGACAACTCTAGTCTTTTATCACTAGTCTCTTACTGTACAACACTAGTCTCTCGTCACTAGTCTCTTACAGCACAACTCTAGTCTTTTATATATCTAGTCTCTTACTAGACAACAGTAGTCTCTTATCACTAGTCTCTTACTGGACAACGCTAGTCTCTTATCACTAGTCTCTTGCTAGACAATAGTGGTCTCTGGTCACTAGTCTCTTATATATCTAGTCTCTTACTAGACAACTAGTCTCTTATCACTAGTCTCTTACTGGACAACGCTAGTCTCTTATCACTAGTCTCTTGCTGGACATCACTAGTCTCTCGTCACTAGTTTCTTACTGGATAACAAAAGTCTCTCATCACTGGTCTCTCATCACTAGTCTCTTACTGGACATCACTAGTCTCTTATTGGACAACACTAGTCTCTCACAGGTGATTCAATGTTTCATTCTTCAAAGAACTGATTTCGCTGTGTGTCAGGGCTCATCTTCTGCTCGAACATTGCTGTTTGATGAAGCGATAAACACAGGGAAGGAACCGCATGTTGTCAAAGGAGCTTTTTTACAGTATCTCTCACCAGTTTAGGTAATGGTAAAAAATATATGAGAAAACTGTTCAGAACAAATTCATCTTAATTTCGGATAGATTTTATAGAAAGGCAGCATGTGCAATACTTTTACATTCAACCAAATCGATGTGAACACGTTCAAGCAAACCTAAGCTTCAATATTTTCTTAAACTTATTGCAGCGGCTTCAGTTCCTTTTCCACTGTATGAAGAAATAAAGAAAATAGTATCTGGTGTCTGAATAATTTCTGGGTTAACTTTAAATGATCCTTTATCCTTGTCCACCACAAATAGCCTACCTCTGAACGTCTGTCCACCGTGTAGACACACTATACCAGGGGTGGCCAACCCTGTTCCTGGAGAGCCACGTTCCTGCAGATTTTAGTTGCTACCCATATCAAACACACCTGAACCAATTAATTAGGACCTGAACATCACGTGATAATTACTGGCAGGTGTGTTTGATATGGGTTGCAACTGAAATCAGCTGGAACGTGGCTCTCCAGGAACAGGGTTGGCCACCCCTGCACTATACCTTCATTTTGTAAAGTATAAGCTACCAATGTTACAGGTGTGGTAAACACTGCATTATCCCATAACATACAGCTCACGTGCATTGCGAACATGGCAGTTACAAGTTAATGAATATGGAGACTTGAACAAACCACATATTCTAGTTATAGTCTGCATATCAGAGTCCTTCAGTCAGTCAAACGTGCAGATAACATTTCGGTGAAAATGTTCTGTGCATGTGTATTTATTTTCTGCTAGGTAGTCACAGAATTTTCACTCTAAGACAAATGTCAAATTTTCTGTCTTTCAATGACAAATAAATAATTTCTATGACCTTTAATGTAAAGAAAAACAACAGTTGTTGTGTTGAGCAGTCCCTCCAGAATTTTGCAATTCTGCAACTGCTGAAATTAATGCAAAATTACGGAAAGTTTGAAGGAGCTTGCCATATTTTTCATTGTCAAAGATTTTTGAACATTGCTCAATTCCCTTCCATGTCATCTGTATTGCTTCCTAAACGTCACATTGATGCATATAAACTTTTTTAGACTTTTTGAATAAGGACATTTGTTGTATCGATTGCTAAAATAAGACCTTTTAATATGATTTTTCTAATGCTATTGTTGAAGAGATTTTATTAAGGCTTCAGAAGGCTTTATGTGTTTAAACACTTTCTCTCTTTGTTTCTCTCAGTGTTTACTTTTTAAAGTAAAGAGACTAAGATGTGTAAATGTGTGTGTTTACACAGCAAAACAACAAGAAATGCAGATTACTGGTGGTAAATTTTTAAAAAGGCTCAAAAACCACAAAATCAGTCATTTTAAGCTTCAATAATGTGAAATCTTTGGTTGAGAAGTGGGAAAGGACTAAAATAACAGTGAAAATAGGCTAATCATAACAGTAGGCAAAAATATGTGAAACAATAAAATATAAATTTTGATAAAATATTTTTAATAGCTTAAATGGGAAGTAAAATTTTTAAATGATGAACAAAAAAAACAAAAAAAAAAACCCTGATTCTCATGGCTTGAACAAAAAATGGCTGGAATGGACCTTTTTAAAATGACATGACGATATTACAGGGATTCCATGATCTCTGGGAAACTATAATGAAGGGGAATATGGGCCAGATTAATGAGGAAACTAATGCAATATATAGTTCACCCAAAATGAAATTTCTGTCATCATTTACTCATCCTTCACATGTTCCAAACAACAAAAGTTTTTTTTCTGTTGAACACAAAAGAGGATATTTTGAAGAAAGATGAAAACTGACTTCCATAAAATTTGTTTTGGCGAAGAAGTCAGGTTACAGGTTTCCAGCTTTCTTCATGAAAACTTCTTTTGTGTTTAATAGAAAAAGAATTTTACAAAGGTTACATTTGAGGTAGTATAGTGAGTAAATTTCCAGTTTTGGGTAAACGTAACTCTTTAAAATTGCATTGTATGTAGGCCTTTCCCAGGGATGGGTTGCGGCTGGAAGGGCATCAGCTGCGTAAAAACTTGCTGGATAAGTTGGCGGTTCATTCCGCTGTGGCGACCCCGTATTAATAAAGGGACTAAGTCCAAAAGAAAATAAATGAATGTAGGCCTATGTAGGCCTACAGTGTGTTATATAGTGTCTGGTAATGCTAGCTATCTCTACATGTTTTAATGTGTTAAGGGGGAAACTGCATGAATAACTAAGGTATAATCTGATAAATATGGTAATATGATAATTAAATCATTTCTATAGTAAAGAAGCCGTTTCATAAGTTTTTTGTTGGTGTTGTTAATCTGCATTGAAAAACTCAAGGTTGTAAAGAAACACGAGCTCCCCCAAGTGTTCAAATCCCGCCATTAGTTAGTGGAAATCTCACAAGCTACAAGACAAAGCTGCATTAAAATAATTTAACTTTCTCTGAAAATGTGTAAAAGCTTTATTGAATATCTTACAAATATAGAAATTATATTTAACAAAAACTCACTTAAAACAAAGTTCTGTCAAAGACGAGTCCCGTTTGTTCTAGCCTAACGTTAGCCTACATATATAGCCCAGATAAGCTAGCCTATTT